ACATCTCTGTCCATTTCAACTGTGATGGATGTGTAGAGGGGGGATTTTTCTGGGATATACCAGCTGCTGGAACCCCTGATCACACTGATGTTGTGACCTCTGGCATGAAGTTCTTCTAACAGGATCTTCATATTGATCCAGTGGCTGCCATCTAGAGGATACACCAAAATATTCCCTGCGTCGCAGTGCGATATGAAGAAAATCTGAAACAAGCTGAAGACTACTAAGAATCCACACGTTCCTAAAATGCATAAGAAACATTCCTCTGTGAGTTTTCAGGAAATGTATAAGCATAAACTCAAATATTTATGTATTTATTACAAACTGAATAGGTATGGCAATAGGTTATATCACATCTTATTGAAAATGCATAATTTCACACCACAAAAAGAAAGTGAATAAAACCCCTAACACAAGACAATGATCATAGTGACATTTACTCACCCATATTGAAGTAAGTTAATATTAGCACGACTTGCAAGCAGACTGACTGTCCATCTCCTGTAGGAGACCTTTGAGTACAAACACCAATAAAAGAGATAAAAACCGTCACAAGGTAAATGAGTTACAAGCAGTACACACACACTGCAAGAAGCTGCTTTAAATTATTCGAAATTAAATTAATATACCATACTACAGCCAACTTATTATTATTGGAAACCAAACCGGGATTTAGTTTTACAACATAATCTAGAAATTAATACTTACTTTAGTATGTGTTTTTGCTTTCTTAGTTGGGAACAGTTAGGAATTTAAGGGCAAAAACAAGGTTGTTGTTTTTTTTTTTTTTATTTACATTTACAGCGTAGAATTGTTGGATTTGTGTTCAAAATTAGGTTAATGTTTTATGTGTTCTGCATTACAAAAATATGAATTTAATCAGACAAGTAGGAGTAAGACTCAAAAACAGCACCTTCAAATCCACATCTGCAAAAAAAAAAAAATCTATAAGGTTACAAACACAGTAGCCTACCAGTGTGTGTGTATATGTGCGTGAGGGAGCAGGGATTTTCAGGAGACATGTCAGAAATTAATTGAGAAACACTGCCTTAAACTGACAGGTTGGGAAATAGAGTACTTGAGAGAGAAATCAATAAAATACCTTTGGTAACTCCGGTGGAGCTTCAGAGGTCTACAGCTGGGGTTGCATCTCTGTCAGTAGTACAACCACTTCACAAATTTGGCCATAGCCACATATGAGAATGACCGAGTCAAAGTCAGGACCTGAATTCTTTCTAAATATTTTGTAAAACCTGACTATTTATCTTTTACAGATGTCATTTATTATGTATGAAAAGATTTTAACAATTTCACCTAAAAGAATGGGAATAATCATCTAGATTTAACACATCTATTGGATGTACACATCTAGAAGCATCTTACAAAACATATACAATTGTAATTACACTCTACAAAATAGCAAATCTGGAGCAATGAAAATAAATACTCACTACACTTTTAAAATATTTACTTGAAAAAGAAATCACTAACTCCTAATTAAATACATTCGTAATGGTGGTTTCCAATACATGCAACCTTAAGAGATAGAAATGCTTCCAGAAAACAATGTAGAAGATATATTTAAATCATAATTAAACTTTACACATGCAAATAATTCAATCAATATTCTAAGTCAATTTTGTTTCAGTTTTCGATTCCGTCNGCTAACACAACACCTTGTCCTATTCCTGGATCAGTAAGAACCACATCATACTGTGATTCTATTAAGCTTTTTATCAACTTTGGATTTTCAAAGATTTGTGATGCAGCATCATACCACAGGGCATGAGCCTGAGCAATGAAGGACAAAAGGTTTTTTGTGAGCTTAAAAAATGTAAGCAGTGAAGGCCCTTCTCGGTGCACCTAAAAAAAGAAAAAATAAATAGCCCTTTGATGTACAGATGAAAAAACACACAGGAAAACACATTTATTTCACATACCCTCATGTGGTCTTGTATGAACTCCCCAAAGAAATCCTTTACATCTCTGTCTATTTCAACTGTGATGGATGTGTAGAGGGGAGATTTTTCTGGGATATACCAGCTGTTGGAGCCTCTGATCACACTGATGTTGTGACCCCTGGCATGAAGTTCTTCTAACAGGATCTTCATATTGATCCAGTGGCTGCCATCCAGAGGAGACACCAAAATATTTCCCGCATTACAGTTTGGAGTAAGGAAAATTAGAAACGAGCTGAAGAATACACATATTCCACCCACATTGTGCAAAGGCGTGACCCCTAAAATGGATAAGAGAAAACACTCAATCTTTTTACATTTGCAAATATTCATACATACAGTAAAGAAAATATAAAGTATCATCACCAACATTATAATAATCCTAATGATTGTCACTTACCCATGTCAAAAGTTATCAGAAGACCCACTTGCCAGCAGACTGACAGTCATTCAGGAGAGCTTTGAGTTCAAATACCCATAAAAGAGATAAGCCCCTTACCAAGTAAATGAGTTACACGTGGCACGTGGCACCTGACACATGAAGTTGGGTAAGAGATTTCTCAATAAATTGCTTTTGCTATTTTAAAACCTGTAAACATTGATATACCATAATTTCTGGACTATTGAGGGCACCTGAATAAAAGCCATACCCACTAACTT